AAGTCTTTATGCACCAGGTCCAGCCCCACAATCCCAGCCCAAGGACAGGATGCCCGTGCCGGTTGTGTCCTTGCTTCATCACATCCTGCCCTGCCTGGGTGCAGCCCTGGGGAGCACCGTCCCCATTACAGTGCCCATGTGCTGCTGGCAGCCTGGCACACAGTGTTCCATGGCTCAGGTCTGCCCTCCCTGTCTGCCTTTGAGCTGTTGTCATCCAAATTGTCCCGTGTTTCTGGGTCAGGCAGCCAAAACGGCCTCTGAGGCCCTTGGGAAGAGCCCCCTCATCTGGGATGAGTCACTGGGAAGTGCCAAAGGATGGAAATCCCCCTCCTGTCCCAAACCTCAGCCTCCTGCCTGTGACACTGGGTTTGGCCACCAGCCCAGCTCCATCCATGGCCCTGAGAGACTGGCAAGTCCCTGGGATACCCCCAGTGCTGCCCAGCCACCCCCAAGTGAAGACAGCACGGCCTGAAGCAGCCTTGAAACACCCCACACTCATCCCCTTCCCTAGAACTAGCCCTTTTTCCCACCCCACTCTTTTACCCAGGCAGGGAAAAGGCAGCTGCAGGTAGCCCAGGCTGACAGCAAGAAGCCACGGGCTGCCCTGCCAATGGCTCTTCAAAGGCTGGGACCGAAATACAGACCTGGGACAGGGTGAGCTGTGAACACAGGGAGATGGGGTGCAGAGGGGCACGGGGCTGGGTGCCTCACGGATGCAATGCCAGGCACTCCTCCATCTCCCTGTGCCACGTTGTCTGCTCCTGCCTTATCTCCCGCGCTTTCCCTGGCTCCGGGCACACCGGCAGCAGCCGGGCCCCCTTCCAAACACAACACCCGTTAAGAAACCAGCTTTGAAAAGCAATCACTGCCTTCACTGCCTATGCGGGGCTTTCCTTTCCTGGGGAAGAGAGCTGCAAAACAAGGGGCAAAACCCGACCCCATGCGCTCCAACAACCGGGATGTAGATGGGAAAACGCACCAGGCTATTAGAGACTGGGCTGGGGGGGGGGTGGAGAAAGGACGGACCCCCCCGTGCAGCGCTGCAGCCTCAAGCTCGCCTTTGAAGCCTCTTTTCTCCCCCCGTCCCCATCACCGCGGGCTGGCTCCGGAGCAGGTCTGGGCACGCTGCGGGCGGAGGGGTCCCGGTGGCGGGGCCGCGCTGCCCTGGGCACGCCTCGCCCCGCTCCGCTGCCGCGGCGGCAGAGGGAGTTCTGCCCGTTCCGGAGCTGCTCCTCGGCGTCCCTCCGCAGGCGCGCCCGTGGCGGCCCTCGCACGGCAGCGGAGCCGGTCCAGCCCGTCAGGCAGAGCAAGGGAGGGCCCCTGGAGCGCGTCCTCAGACTTGGGCTTCAAGGAGATACGGCCGGGGACGCGCTCGGCATCAGGGGCAGAGCCTGGTCCTGCAGTGCCCAGGGCACGGCTGGAGCAGCAGGCAGGGTGCCCACACACCACCAGCAGGGAAAGCCATCGGGTGTTAACAGAGCCCGAAACCACGAGGATCCTGCCCGAGGCTTTCGCTCGCAGCCAAACTATGCAGAGTAAAAGGAGCACCTCAGGCTTGGGACAAACCTCACTCAGGAGCAGCAGCAAGGAGGACAGTCCTCCCCAGTGACAGGGGATGGGCAAGGCCAAAGAAGTGATAGATGCTCCATCCCTGGCAGTGTTCAAGGCCAAGCTGGACAGAGCCTTGGGTGCCCTGGTTTAGTGCGAGGAGTCCCTGCCCATGGCAGGGGTTGGAACTGGATGATCTTAAGGTCCTTTCCTTAAGGAACCCTAACTATTCTATGATTCTATGCTGGTCTTGCACGTTGGCACAAAACCATATCTAACTTCATTGCAAAATAACCCCCAAACTGCAAAAAGGAGCAACTTCTTCCCCAAATAGAGGCTGCTGCTGCTCAGAGAAGGAAAAACCCCATCAGGACACAAAGGGTGTTTCTACAGAAGACAGGGACACAGAATGCCAGTGGCAAAGGCTAACAAATCACAGGAGAGATATTAAACCTCATGCTTCAGGGCTTAAGCTGATACAGCTACTAGGGATTAGGAGGAAATTTAAGGGGGGGACCGAGTTATCCCACATCTGCCTGCTGCAGTCCCACTGCACATGGAGCAGCAGCATCCCTCTCCTACCCAGCCAGACAGGGGATAGCATTGCAGAGCCAGCACTGCTCTTGGGAAAACCCTGGAGTGCCCTGTGCTGCCCAGATGCAGCAATGAGAGGCACTAACCCATGCGTAGGGATAAAACCAAACACTAGTGAAGGTTGCAGGGTGTCTTAACACCTTGCTGGGTCACAGCCAAGTCCCAGGCACCCACTCCTGTCCTTCATATATCCAAGGCCTGGAAAGCCCCATCAGAGCTAATGGAACGGGGCAAGTGGCTGGCCTAAGGTGGCCGAACCTCCTCAGGCAGCAGCTGAGGCCTGGCAGGGCCTCACTCCCTGTCCTTGAGAGTTTCACACCAGTTTGCTCAGCTGCTGCCCTTTCTCTGCACTTTGCGCACGTTTAAACAAAACCCTTCACCACTCCCTCCAGGAAGGCAAACAGCGAGTCCAGCTCTCAGTGCCTTCCTCAGGTCCTCCAGCTCCTGCCTATCACAGGAGCATCACACTCTGCTCCAGCATCCCCTCATCCCCTGCCCCTTAGCTGTGCACACCCAGGGATGCGGACACTCAGACCTTGCTGAGCACCGTCCCGCTCCAGGAGCCATCATCCCTTCCCAAGGATGAGAGCTCAGTCTTGGGGGGGGCGGGTGTCTTTCCTTTCACATCCCCTGGGAGCCCCAGCCCCACGGTGCAGCAGCAGCAGCCCTGGCCCAGCCAACGGGTGCATTGTTGGTGAGTGCAGCCAGCCCAGGCTGTGATTGATGGCCAGGGAGAAAGGCCAAAGCCGTGACGGGTCGGTTAACAATTTCAATTAAACTCTCCAGCACTCCGAGGCGGAGGGGTGGGGAAGAGAGAAGGAAACGAACAAGCAGAACATTGCTGTTGCTGCTCCCACAGCAAAGGGTGGCAGGAGCAGCCCAGCTCTCCTGGAGGAGACCCCCTTGGTGGTGCAGAAGGACCACAGCATCCTCCGGACATGCCCTCCCTGCAGGCAGGATATCTGCCTTGCTCCTGCCCCCAAAACCTTCTCCCCACCTTGTAATAATAGGTGCTGTGACCCACTTGCACGGGGAGGAGGGCTCTGCGTGGTGAATGTTAAACAACACGTCCCTGAAATTCCTGCTGCCGGGACTGGCGCTCGGTTTCTGCTTACGCGCCCTGACTTTTTTAGGCACAGGAAGCCCCAGAGGGCTGATCACAGCACCCGAGCTCCCAATGCACTGAGACAGCAGAAGGACTCTTAGAGGGATTTGAAACAAAGATAAAATCCAGCATCTCGGCCTCTCATATGGACAAGGCGCTTTAATGAACGGCAAATGCTCGGCTCACATGACAGAGGAAACTGGAAGGGATGGGGAGCAGCGATACCCCCCATGCTGGGGATGAGCCCCTGGAAGCGGGCAAGTCCCCCACAACAGGTCCAGCACGGAGCCCTATCAAGCAGTGTCCTCACAGGGGTCTGGGCTTGTTGCATCCCCCTCCTTATGAAGGGATAGAGTGAAAATAGGCAGAGGGAGGTGCTGACGCCACTGCAGCGGGGGAGTGAAGCACACGTTCACGTGGGTGCCCCAAGGCTGCAGGGAGGGGAAGGCGCCAGGGAGAAAACACACAGACAGGGTTTGACTGGGAGGGAGTTCCTGGAGGGGACTGAAGGAAACCAGTATAACTTCACCCCTCTGGGTGTGCAGGATTGCCACGGGCACCCCAGCCCGCTGGCCATGGGACAGCAGCTTGGGGCTGCATCAGCTGGTGGGATGCTCAGAGCCTGATGTTATTTATTGCCTTAGGGATGTCTTTCAACCCAGTGGCACAGGGAAACCTCTCCCTCCAGCTCAGGGACCCCTGAGCAAGCAGAGACAATGGCACCCCATCCCTTTCCCTGGGGAGAGGGCATCAGGCACCCCTGCTGTGGGAGGAGGTGGCCCTCAGGCCCCCTGCAACCCTGGCAGTTGGGATGTGCAAAGTTCTGGCCCGAATCAAAGCTTTCCAGTGCTGTCCCAGAGGACTTGATCCCTTCTCACATTCATAATCCTCAGCATAACTCATGTTTCTCAGCACCAGCCTCTCCACCCTGAGCCACTCCTAAGAAGCCTTAAGGCTTCCTCTCCTGGACGTGTTCCCCCTTTCCCTCCCCAAGGACAGCTCTCCACAAGACCCCCCATGACAAGCATCCCTGGCCAGAGGTCTCACATCCCCAGCCCAGGCAGGCACCACGCACCTTCCCTTGGCCACACACCACCCGAGAGCTCTGTTATTTACTTTTCCCAGCTTCCTCCTCTTAGCAGGTCATGAGAAACAGCCGGGAGCTCAGCTCCGTGCAAGGACACCGTGGCCATGATCTTCTCCTCCACCTTTCCACCCTCCCCACGTCCTCCAGACACTGCGTGGCGCCTGCAGGACCCCGGTGTCCTCGGGGACCCCCACGAGCCCAGTGTTGGCTCCGAGCTGCGCTTGCCGCTGACCTTTCCGAGAACACACGCAAGGAAAGAGCCCTGCTGAAGGGTTAAACATTACCCGGCTGAAATTCAAGGCTTGACGATTGGTTCCAGTCCACTGGCTGGGATGATAATTTTTCACAAGGTAAATACAGGCAGTCGCTACAGACCCTTTGTAGCAGGGTTTCCCCTAAGTGGCTTCACTTCCCGTCGCCACCACCGTTCCCCTTTGCCCATCCCTGCTCAGTGGGCCACACTTGGAGCTCCGAGGGGGAACCCCAGCGCTGCCAGGACAATCCCTTACAGCCTGCTCATTCATCTGCATGGGCTGCAGGGTTCAGAACCAGCACTAGAACCCAGCCTGGACAGCACAGAGCCCACTGCTGGCACTCACACCCTGGTACCGACTGCAGCGCCCGGCCAGACAGAGGGATCCCACAGCTCTGCACCCCAGTACTCACTGCTCTTCGACGCCTTGATCTTGGCCACCAGTTTCTGCACACCAGGAATGTCCCCGTTCTTCACGGCCTGGATCAGCTCCTGCTCTCGCCCCATCGCAGACAAGTGGGAGTGGTGGTGGTGCGGAAGGCAGACACCCTCTGATCCTGGCAGTTTATAAAGCCATGGGAATAAGCCCCTAACTCCTCAAAGCACACTTTGATGGAAGATGAAATCCAGAAGAAAGATGCTTTACAATCCCATGGGACATAAAAACCAGAAGGAAGAAGTCTTTCTGTTAAGGGCAGCAGCCCTTTTCCGTGTCGGGAGGAGCAGGACCCGGATGGGGTTTGCTTGGAGAACATGCGATCAATTAAAACAAGAGATAGTTCAGTGCTCAGGGATGGGCTCCATGGGACAAAGCCAGGCTGCTCAGCGCAGCATGGCCAGTGCAGTCAGCATCAGGATCCCTTTGGCCTCTCGCAGTGCTCCCGGAGCTGGAGGTGTCGTGCTTTGCTCCCCTCGCCAGGCTCTGCTGCGCTGATGAGTCCCTAATTCTTCCCAAAGGGATTACGGGCTCGTTGCCATCTGGAAGTTATAGATCCTCCCTCTCTGCTGCTCATTAGCCCCTTCGTTTTGGCATTCCTCTTGGCGTCGGCGCTGCAGCCACGCTGGGGAGTCCCATGCACGGCCGAGCCCCGGCGCGGCAGCCCCAGGACCTGCGGAGGGGAAGAGCAGAGTCAGCCCTCAAAGGACGTTTACCTCTTGGCTCTGTCGCGACAGCCTTTGTATCCACACCGAAGAACGAATGCTTTGACTATATTTAGTGCTGGCTGGACTTGGCTCATCCCTGTTAAACAGAGAGGGAAGAACCTGCGAGGAGAGCTCCTGAGGGTGCTGCTGGGGGCACAGCTCCTTCCCCATCCCCTGGGGTGGCATTAGACATCCCCTCCCTAAGGGCAGCACATAGGCCTTGGGGCACCATGGCATCTCCTCCTCTCCTTTCCCAGTGGCAGCACCCAAGGGATGGAGCTGGGGAGGTTCAGACAAAGTCCCCTGCAGCCCATGGGAGCAGGTCAGCCAGCCTGGCACTGTTCTCATCCCATGCACGGATAAATCCTCACCCTCTGAATTAGCCATGAAGCTCAGTGCTCTGGGCCCCAGCACACTCCTTAACCAGTCCCTGAGCTCTCTCTGGCCCATGTGAGGAGCTGGGGGTAATTCAGCAGCACAACCACGCTCAGGTGAACAGGATCAAGCCCACATCCCAGTGAACTGGAGTACCAGAGAGGGCACAGAAGCAGTTCACACCTCTCGGTGCCCTCCTGCTGCACTCGGGCTGCCCAGACTGGATGGTGAGAAAACCCCTCCTGGTTGAGGGCCATGGATCTGGCAGGCTGCTCCAGCACCCGGGAAGAGCGTGCGTGCAGGAGGGCAGGGAGCACTCGCTGTGCCAGCCGCAAAGCTGGTGCCAGATCACCCTGCAATCCCCCTGCGTCGATCCGCACCAGATCAGAACCGGCTCTGGCATCCCCAGCCATGGCTCCGGAATGCTGAACCCCTTCCCAGAGCACTCCACCTCAGCCGTTTATATAATAGCGGGTGTCGCTTCTCCGAGCAATCCAGGTCACTGTTTTGAGGATGGAAACCACAGGGGAGAGAAGGGAACGGTGGGAACAGAGCTCCTGCCTGGGTCGGGAGAGGCAAAACCAGAAGGGGTGTCCCACGGCACAGCGCTGCTCAGCCCACCCACGGTAAAGCTGAAAGCTGCCCATGAGCACAGACCCCCCACAGGCTCCCCGTGCTCCAGCCTCCCCCCCGGGGTGCAGCAGTATTCAGTGCAGGGAGAGGGGAGATCCTCCAGTGCTGGCTTAGCCTCTGGGACAAGGGGTGCTGAGGCTCCCACATCAAACTGGGGGGTTCCCCCCCATCACTGCTCCCCTCAATGAGCACCTTGGCACTGGGGCTGTTTGGGGCACTGAGGCCAGCGCTGAGGTCAGTTGTCACCTCCTCACATCCTGGGGCACCCACACCAGCTTATCTACATTACAACGAAGTTTCAAGCACTTGACTCGGACCAAACCTCTTCCAGCAAACAAATCCCCTCCCGAAACCTCCTGCTCTGCTTCTCACCGTCCTCCAAACTACTCCATTTAACCCTGTGCACTGCAGCCAACTCTGTGCTGCTCTTCAAAAGCACTCGCAGAAAGCGTGTGCGAAGGCACTGAGCCCATTCACTCCTTTATTAAACAAGCCTGCACGGCCTCACTTAAGAGAGCAGCCCCGTGCTGGTGCCTACCTCCCCCGGAGCACACGAGGCTCAGCGGGTACCGAGAGCTCCGAATACCGACCTCCATCTCTTCAGCCTCTCGAGAGAGGAGCAGGAGCGAAGGTAAAACGAGAGACAGGCACAAAGCTGGAAAAGCAACAGCAAAACATCCCTCCCACCCGAGCAGAGCTGAGCCTCCAGCCCAGGAATCCACCTGGAGAATCAAAGTATCCCAAACATTCCCGCAGCCAACGGCAGGGCAGGGAAAAAGGAGGGAGAGGAGGAAAAGAAACAACAACAAAAACAAACTAATTACGTAAATGGAGAAGGAAAGATGTAAACGAGCAGCAAGCACCGACTCCGGGTCCCGGAGGGAAAGGGGGGGTTGGAATCTCGTCTCCCCCGGGAGGACCAGTGGAGTCCCGTACCGGCAATGCGGGGGGCACCGGCCGCATCCCCCCGCACCGGGACCCCCGAGGACCGGCCTGGGCCGACCCCTGCTTTAGGGGGGGAATCGGGGGGGGGGGGGGGATTTTCGCCCCCCCACCGAACCGAGTCGCTCCACAGCTCCTGCGAGGGGCCCGAGCCGAGCGGGCTCCGCAGCCACGGCCGCACTCACCTGGTGCCGCTCCCAGCCCCGCCGCACCGGAGCGAACCGAACCGAGCCGAGCCGAGCCGAGCCAAACCGCACCGCGCGGGACGGCTCCGCACCGAGCCGCGCAGAACTGAACCCGAGCCGAGCGCAGCACGAACTTGCCGAGCCGTGCGGGGCCGGACCGGGACCGGGACCGGGACCGGGACCGGAGCGAGCGGCGCGGTCCCGGCTGCCCAGCTCGCAGCGCGGCGCTCGGCAAAGTCCCGCTCGGGCTGGCCCCGTCCCGGCAGGAAATCCCTCCCCGGCCCGGCCTGATTGGAAAAGCCCGGCGGGTTGTGCGGGCTGGGCAGGGCCGGGGCTGCTGTCACTCACCGTGATGCGCCGGCTGAGTGGGGCAGGGCCGCCGCACCGGCACCGCTCCCGACCCGCCGCTGGAGTGCCCCGGGGCTCCCGGGCAAGCGGCTCGCTCTGAATGGGCCCGGCTTGGAGGCACGACGCGGACCGGGACCGGCTCCCGGGGGTCGTTCCCCATCCTCGACCCGGAGCTCCAGGACCGGCCCTGGGGGGCGATCCCCCGCCTTCAGCCCCAGTCCAACCCAGTCAACGCTTTGCCCCCTCCGTTACCAACTACATCGGCCCAGAGCTGCTGATGGTACCCACGGGACCAGCATCCACCTATTCCCAGCTGCCCAAACCCCAAGTTAGTCCTACTCTCACAAAGCACTAAAACCACCCAAGCCCACCCTTTTCTGCCAGTCCACAATGGAAACACCCGAGCTGAGGGCTCCCCTGAGCAGTTCTCTTAAAACAAGAGATTGCCTAATAAAGCTGGACAGCTTTTGCTGTACGATACCACTGGATTATCATCAACTAATCAGATTAAAAACACACGGAGGCTTTGATTTTATTCACTAAGTGCCCAGCCCACAGCTCCCTGGGGGAGATGCACAGATCCCCTACCTCTTTGAACCAGGCCCGGAGACATTGCCCCAGATGATAGTTTCAGGAGCAACCCCAATAAGGGGGATTCTCAGCAAGGAGGAGGAACTGATGTTCCCAGACACACCCTGTCTTTTCAGTTCGGGGAATAAAGAGATTATTATGCACATCTAATTATAAATGTCAACATTTCACAGCTGCGATGTTGAAGCATGAAGCTCTAAGTAGCCCTGCTAGGAAGGGCTGTGAAGTGAAAGATCTTGTTATTCCTCCTGTGAGTTTTGCCAGAGCTTGTAAAGCGCAGTGACATTTATAATAATCCCCCGAATTTATGTAGCACCTTTTGTCCTTTTAAGGATCTTAATTAAGCATTAAGCTTTGCAGCTCCCTGAGCACAGACTAAACCCACTTTGCAAAAGAGGAGTCTGAGCCCTTCTTTCTATGTGTGTCCTGCTTCAAGCAGGAGCAGGACTTTTCCTCCCCAGCGACCTCCGGCAGCACGCTGTTACACTGCAGCAAGCGGGTCCCGCATCGATACTCCCACCCAAAGGTTGTGCTGCTTCAGTTACACTAAATCTGGCTATTTAAGCTTTAATCTCTGCTGCCACACAAGCCCTTTGAACTGAGGGTGCCACTGGAGGGTATACCCCAATTTACTAGAAATCCACAGTTTTTAGCCCAGCCTTTGACCATTAAACCACAAATCAGTGCTCCTGACTGCACAGCAAAGCCCAATGCCTTCCCTTTCCAGCCCTACCCACAGGCAGGCATCAGAGCAGGGACGAGACCCCATTTCCTATCACACACCTTACAGGTTTCCATCGGTCTCTGATGTGAGATGACCCCAGCACAAACACCCACCAGCGGCTCCAGCCATGTCCACCTTGCAGAGCCAACAGACCCACTGTGACACCTATTCCCCTGTGCCCACAGGGCAGGTGCTGAGAACATCTGAGAGCATCAATTGAAATTCCACGGCAGAGAAACCCTTTCAACATTCTGCTGTCCCTGTACTGGGGTGAGGTGTTTGCAGTCTAGGGGGATTTCGGGATGCTAGCACCCTTGGGTGGCCAGCCCTGTCCTCGACCTCTACATTGAGGTGTCCAAAGCAGCACCAATTCCTGTTCCCCACGTCGGCCCGGCGGGGCCCCTGATCCTGCTCCCAGCTCTTCAGGTCGATGTTGCCACCTAGAGGCCCCAGCTACAACGATCGTCTCCTTGCAAAGCCCTGGGAAGTTTCGTTGGGGTTTGTGTCTTTAATTCAGTGCAACATTTCAAAGCAGGGTTTTTGGCTCAGGGGCTGAGCAGGAGGAGCAGATGAGTTGTTCCTACAAGTGATGTGGGTTTGACTCAAAAAATCACTGCCAGCTCTCCCCAACCCTTGTTGCATGGCTGCTTGATGACTGCACCTCATCCTGGCTCATGCAGCTGTGCAAACCTGTCCTCTCTACTCTGAGATTAGTTTGTGGATGGGGTAGAAAACCCAAATGGATGTATTCTTCACTGTGAGGGTAGTGGGACACCGGAGCAGATTACCCAGGGAAGTGCCCCATCCCTGGCAGTGTTCAAGGCCAGGTTGGAGCAGGCTTGGAGCAACCTGCTGTGGCAGGGGGTTGGAACTGGCTGAGCTTTAAGGTTCCTTCAACTCAAACCGTTCTGTGATCCTTTGACTGTGTGATTCTATGATTTGCTGCCAGGGAGGGACCAGCCCAACTGAAAGGAGTGATGCACACAGCAGCACCCACAGCAGCTCCACTGCCAGCACTGGCGCCTATCTGAGAGCACCAGGCTCTTACTCCCAAGTTTCACTCATAAAAGCCAAACTTAGCAAGTCATGACCATCGCATCCCCACCAAGTGGATAGGGGGTCTGCAAAGGCCCATACCAGACATCCAAAACATCTAAAGCATGCTATGAACCAGCTGGGTGGACATACACTTATCCCATCTCAGCTGTGGCTCAGGCTCCTCCTGTCACTGCTGTTTAAAACCTCAA